CTAAACACACCATTTGTTATGGCTTGCATTTAGCGAGTATTTCGGAAAGCCAGAAGAGTATGCTATGGACCGCTACATGTATGTTCTATGCAGTGTATGCAAGAAAGCGTACTTTGGAGGCGAGAGTCGTTGTCAAATGGTCAGTATTCTATTTTCTATTCGTTAGATATCGCACATAAAAAGGTTCTGCACGTTGCCTTATGTCTGCTTTTTGAACAATAGAACCAGTAAATTTAGAGCTCAGTCTAATAGTTGGATCTGAACTAAATTTTTGGTTGCCAGTTCTCCTAGTCTCTTCTTTGTTGAGGACAATTTATTACATTAACTTTTTTCAAGGCAATGCAATCGTTCCAATATAACGCCGCTGAACTAGTATGTGGTGGGTGTTCGGCTCCAGCTGGAACTGAAGTGTGCGGTCGACATGGCGCCGAATATCTAGAGTATAAGTGCCGTTACTGCTGTTCCATAGCCGTCTATTTCTGGTAAGAATTTCTTCAAACGTCTTCTGATAAGCTCATCTATCTACAATCTTTTCGCTTTCAGCTTTGGCACGACGCATTTCTGTGCTGCTTGTCACGACGATTTTCAGCGCCTCGTCTGCCTTCCTAAGAACCAATTCCCACCCTGTCCCACGGGTCCACGTGCAACAGCTGGTGAAGGGCCATGTCCACTGCGGCGACCTCATCCACCTGCAGGCGAAGAATTCGCACTTGGATGTGGTATATGTCGTAATTTAAGCACGTTTTAGGCACAAATTTTTGCCTTTTAATGTTTTAAGCTCACTAATAGGTCTCGATTTGATATTCCATGGAAAACAATCTCAATTCCATTTTCTTCTCTGAAATGTACAACTCTTTTTCACTTTTCTACTTTTCAAGTACATGTTATAATGTGCATTTTGATTGTGTTCAAATTGTGTGTTAATCATGCTAATGGTTTCATTTTTGTTAACTTTGTATTTGATCTCATTTCATGTATAAGATTTCGTTACGGGTATAACTTATAACACATTCGTTCTGGTCACTGCAAAGTTGAAATCTTTTATCATGTAAACTTGTAAATTTGAATAAAAAGTATTTTTTAAACGATCATTGAGTTAGATGTGAAAAGAATGTGTCAAGTAACAAAAGGCAGTTTTAGAAAAATGCGCTTGAAGATATAATTGCTGGAATTTGTTGGATATGTGACTATTTATTAGGCTGTCCATAAGAATTTCTAATTTTTTAGGGAAATTCTCGAAATTGTATTGACTAATTACTTTTTTCGATCTACTGGCCTAACATGCAAGGCCCGTTTAGCAAGAATAAGGCATAGAATGTTTTAGCGATGATTAAATAACTATTTTTGACCAAAAACAAACTGAGCGGAGGTGGAGATAGTGACAGTATAGACGATCCCGGAAGTGAGCACCCAAATTCTTTACTGCGGTTATACGCCTGTATGCATACTTTTCATCTGCAGGTCGTATTCATCTAAAAATTGCGCAGTGGAGCGCGCGAGTAAAGAGTTAGAAGGCAAGAGAAACTAAGAAGTTACTACAAGTCAGGTGCGTATGAGAGCGCTTGGACATTTTGGAGGAACTAATAATTTATGAAATAAAATCTGATTGCACCATTTATATTGACTAATACCAAAAAAATGCTTTCCATGATTGTGACACAGCAAGATTTTACGTACGATAGGAAGTAAAGCTGACAATGGCAACATGCCTTAGGCGCGAGGCATTGTCTTTTATTCGTTGTCTGATATATGGGAGAGCAAATATCTCCCTCTAGGCCTGCAAAGTGCTGTCATAGTCGATTTCAAGAATTTCAGTGGGGATGTAGTTCGCCAGTAAGTAGAAACCTGAGTGCCGACGTCAAGGAAAAAGATCCATGTGGTGAGGGTTGATCATATTTTCGTAATGATTTATATAAAGTAGACATCGCTCATGTGTAAGTCAAACTAAAGCTGCAGTGAGTATTGTATTGTGTAGTATAGTTATCGATTTAAAATTGATCACTACTGTTGTATCTGCCGCTTTTAGCTGGAGTTACTTGCGAGCTCCTTGTAAAACTTGGTTTTCGGCAATTGCTTTGACTTTGAACTTGCAAATGATTTCCATTCTTGCTTCTCAAATGCAGTTGTAACAACTTTTCGATGCGTAGACTTTCTTCACTGTCTGCCGACACTAGAGGTTTCCATCTTATTCCAGTAGATGCGAAGAGTTTGGCAGCGTAGCCTTATCTCAGGGCTAGCGCCGAGTTTTGGTCTGCTTCTGAACTGAATTCTACGTTGTTCAGGGAAGGACTGCGTCGACAGAGTTTATCCTATACGGATGTCGATGTTGTTGCTTTGACAGTCAGCAATTGTAATCTTGTAGTGCATCTGCAAGTATCCGTTGCATCGCATCTTCAGGTTACAAGCGATGTAGGACGTCTTCCATTTTACTGAAAAATATCGCTTTGCCGGCTCACAACTAATGACGAGTTGCTTTGGTTGCAACCTTGAACGAATCTCCAATCTTCATCCAACATTCGTGAAGCTTGAATTATTGAAAACTTGAATCTGATACTTTCAAGCTGCAGTGTGGGAATTGTAGGTGCAACATAGCGCGAAGATATGCCTCCGACTTGCATTATTTCTTGAGATACGATATCTATTTCTCTCCCCACTCTTATAGCGATAGTCAAGATAAGGCGAGCCCGCTCTTGGCGCTTCTTCGCTCCATACAGGGTATGAGACACACAGACTGAAACTGTGACAAGATGGACTTGATTGTTGTCAGTGTGTAGTGCCAGAGATTGAACAGCCTAATACAGGAGTGAACGTCAGCGCAATGGAAGCGGCTCTGCGTCTGTACGCCTACTCGAATACAGTAGATATTTATCAGAATCAAATCAGAAGCAGTGTATGAATACGAACAAAAAAGATCACAATATCCGAGTCGATAGACTGCATCAAAGTTGTAGCTGATGACGGGGCACGGCAGCCCTTGGTAGATAGGCGTCGAACACGGAACCGCCGCACGTTCGGGACCCAGGCGAGCTTCTCCCCCTTGCTTGTCTCGTTCGAACACGCCCTGACATGTATGAGTCAGATATCATCGACCAATCACATTGCAGCACAGTATGCGCCGCTCTTACACCTCCCCACTTCATTTAAAGTCCGTCCCGGACTTAAAAAAGGAGCAAAAAGAAAAAGATAAGTGTAGAGAGTACCTTACGAGTGGGAACTCACTGCGACATTAGGGAACATACTGTTCAAAAATACCGGTCAAGCTTCGAGAAGTTGACGACGACATTAATCGATGTGGACCAGTCCAGTACTCTGTTCCAGACCGGAACCTTTCGTAGTTGTGCCGCGTGGCCCAGTATGAATTGTCCTTGTCGGTACCGGGACATCGCAACATTCATCCTTCGATAGTCGTCGAGGAATTCAGCTGAATCAGGGTCGATGTCAGTCCTGGTAGTAAGTAGGATAACTACCTCCTTTTCGCGCCCTTGAA